ACAGGTTTTTGTGTCTGTAAAATGTGCTATGGAAAGTATCTTGGTTGTTTATAGGGTTAGTGATTCAATAGAAAAGAGTATTTTATAAGTCAATATTGAAACAATATGACTCTCTAGTTTACTTTTAGGATACAAAACTTAGGGCCTGATCAGCTGACTTCATTTATGTGCAATATATCTTTGTTAAATGAGTTTTAATATAGCTGAGAACTTGACTTCTGGAATCTGAGCAGAACCAAAGTGCATTCAGTGCTCGCATTATGGCAGCCAGCATTTTGCTTCCTGGGGAAATCTGCAGCCTCTCTGCTTGAGGCTCCCTGAGAACTCTGAGACTCGCTGTTGTGACAAGACGGCGTCAGGTTTGGCACTTTCACAGCAACCGACGTTCTGCTCCTCTTTCCAAAGCCTTAAATACTTTAAAATGCCTTCTAGAGAAGTAAGAAAGAAAGGAAGAACCCACAGCTCTGCCTTATGCACTTGACTCTTCAAGAATATACAATATCAGAAGTCAGCACCTTGTTCAGTTTTGGATGGACTAAGAGGTTTAGAAAGAAAAGAAATTAAAATTCATTTATGCTGCAGCACAACTAGTATCATTTGATGAAATTCAAAGGGCAAACATCAACTCATTATGAAATAACAAGGTAAGTGACTCTGTCAAGAAATAATCCTTTTGCTTCTCTGAATCACTTTGTTGAAAGCCCTAGTTAATTCTTGCCATTAAATGTTCTGGAAAAGAAAAGATTACTGTTTTAGTTCAAAAAACAGAGAACACATGGTTTAGAGTATATATCTGATAGCTCTTTTGAGGAATCATCCCAAAGTTCTACTTTAATTTCTGGTACGCAGAGCCAAAGTATTTGGAAAGGAAAAGATGCACTTTTGGACTGATAGCACACAATGCTGTAGTGGGAGGGCTATAGGTCAGTCTGACTCCGAGTGATGAAGGAGCAGTCGGGTCCCCGCTCAGGAGCCTTTCCGTGCTTACGGATGTGCCTGCTGGTTCCCAGGACAGCCTTCTTCAGCTCCTGCAACTTCTGTGCAGAAAGGCTGGGGATGTGGGAGAGCTGCTTCCCTCTCAGCATGGCCAGGCACAATTCAGCGATGGATGAAATGGCCTCACCAGTGGCTGGGCACTGCTGGGCATTGCTGGGTCACTGCAGTCACGACAAACAAATGAATCTACGCTAATACATTTTTTTTAGTCTATGTCACCTTTATATGCTGCATTACCTAAACTTTTGGGGGAATTATCTTAAACAAGGCCCTGGAGAGACATCTGGTAAACGTATGACTGTAGGAAGTTGAGAACACACAAGAAAGTTATTAAAATTTCAGGCCACACTGAGCTGCCTGAAACAGAACGGAAAGGGTATCATTATCATTAAAAGCAAGCAGCTAATTGCTTAAATAAAATCAGACAGCTTGTATCCTGTGGGTAATGTTCAGGAGGGCAACCTATTTTATTTCTTTCCATCGCCTTTGGCAGAACTGTGGTCTGCTTTTGCCCTGTGCCCTCCCGCTTGAGGCAATGCCCAGTTTGAAGCGGCGGCTGCAGGGCAGTGACACAGGCCCTGGGGTGACACGAAACCCCCGCGCCGCCTCACGAGGCGGGGAGCAGACGCCTCCCTGGCGCTCACTGCTGCCTTCTCCCAGCGCACATTCTGGGACATAAAAAATATGACACTTCCCTTTGTGTCACCGGGCAATTTTATTACTCAAATGGCAAACAAATCACCTCTCCGAATTGATTTTTCACTTATGTCAGGCTTTCCCAGGCACAAGCAACAGGCGTGCAGAGACTTTGGATGCCAGAATTATGGGTTAGAAAGTCGAGGTGGGAAACGCAGCTTTACGCAGACGTGGGCAAGACTTTTCTGCACATGCATGCCCTTCCTGTGAGAGAGGTAAGGAAATCTTCCTTTGCTCTGCCAGATAAAACAGCAGACTCACATTCTGCAGAGGTTTTCCAGACTACAAATCCCTTAAGAAGCTCCGTGTGTGCCGTAGCTCAGCCCTGGAAACCAGCCCCTCTCCTGGCTCAGGAACACGCACCTCTCAGGAATGACATGAGTCACCCGGAACCCAGCTCTTTCCTTCCAGGAACGTGGCCTGCTCGGATGCGGAACAGCAAAACCCTGACAATAATCCATGCAGAGCACGGGAATGATCTTGAGAGAAAACGCACCTGGTAAATATCTTTTATAAAATCTACACTGAACATTAAACTAAATGTCGCCTAAATGTCCAGCTTCAGCACATTGCAGTGCTGCTCTGTCCTCTAAATCAGGTACCGTCAGTTGACAACTTCATTTTAATGCTTAGTCCTCTCCCCATAAAGGCAGCTGCCTGGTTCAGCTAAGATAAGCAGAATCCTTGTGAGCAGCCAGGGAAGCACATCAGGCAGATGGCAAATGGCTTTCCTACCACATAAAAAAAATTTGGGGGGTTTCTGAGTTTTTCATATCCTGCGCTGCGATGAATCAGTACCTTTCAAGATTTGTGAGAAAAATGAGGTTATCTTCAGAAAAGTGACTACTCGACCAGCTATACCACTTGTTTGGAGGGTGAATGGCCAGAATGAGCCCTCACTTTCCTTGACTCAGTGCAGAAAGTTGAAATCCCTCTCCCATGCTGCAGATCAGTGTCAGTCATCACCAGTATCAGGTACTTTGTGCTTGTTCCTTATCCACCTTCTCGAAGTCCCATTCTGGGCAAGAGCAATCATTCCTGCCTGAGATAGTATATTTTTAGTTGAACACATATAATATACCATACATATATGCAGTAACTCGCATTTTCCAAGAGCAATAGTTCAAGTAAAACATGTGTTGCTGGCTTAGAGGTGCTGCAGCTCTTCCCCAAGGCTGGTGCGGAGCAGTGGGATGTGCTGCTGTGAGATTTTTCTAGGTGCCTTTAGCGGTGAGCTCAACTAAATGCAAAACTCACTGGGAAATCCTGCCTTGAGCATTCATAGCCCAAGTTAAACAAGTATTGGTCTCCTCTTTCAACTGTGAGAGGTTTTTTCCTTGTTTCTCAGAACACAAAGACACCCCATAGCTGCACCCCACATGGAGACCCAAAGCCCTTCCTTTTAGCATCTGACTCTTTAATGCTATAGCACTCAAGTATAAGTTATTTATAACCTGGGTGGAAATAATTGAAGGCCAGAATGAAAAAGGTTTGGCAAAGGAGCCCCATTTAAGACTTAAAATAAAAACAACAAAGAGGCATAGGGAAAAGAAAATTACCCACATGTGTTTGAAATAATTGCCTAAATATGCATGAATGTGCAAGTGCCAAAAACCATGTAAGAGCAGGGGTAGGCGATCACAGCCACATGGAAGTCAATAGCGATGCATCCACGCAGGAGGGCAGGCCACGGGGCATGCTGCAAGGACACCTGCCTGTTCCACGGGCTTTGCCACCGTGAGCCCCCTTACCACTTGCACAACTGCCCTTGGGTCCAGCAGTGAAGGGCAAGAACCGTGACAGGATCGCTTTGGGATGAAAGGGGTAGTGGAGGAGCAGCCAGACTCCCCCTCCTAGAGCTGAAGGTGGCTTTGGGTATGGGAAGCTCTGCAGAGGCTCACACCCCCCAGCTGCACACTCCGTCTTTCACCTTCACCCTCCTGCAAACAGAGACCAAGAGGTATTTGCGAGGACTGGCCACCGTTTGGCCACATGCAGCCAAGGGGGTGAGTAGTAGAAGTAAAAATGTCCCATTATTGACTGCTGGTCTCACCGTAGCTTTTAATGAACCCCTTGCACCCCTTCCCTGGTCAGCCTTGCCCTGGCCCAGCATGGCATGGGTCACGTGGAAGAGAAGGGGCGCCCGGTTGACACAGGCAGTCCCGTGAGGTCGGACATGGCAGGAGAGCCGCCTGGCGCGCTCCGTGGCTCCCGCAGCCCCGTGAGGATGGACACGGTGGGAAAGCTGCCTTGCCTGGCTGGCGCAGGCAGTCCCATGAGGTCGGACAAGGCGGGAGAGCTGCCTGGCGCGCTCCGTGGCTCCCGCAGCACCTCGCAGCTCGCGGCCTTGCGGGCCCTGGCAAGCAGCACCGGGGAGCACAGGGCGTTTTGCTGGCTCGGCCAGCTGCTAAAGACAGGCCAAAATGATGGGTGAGACTGGAGGCTAAAATCAATCCATTCATTTTTAATGCAGGCTCTTGTTGGGCAACAGGGAATGATAGAGCATGAGGTTAGGGCTTGAATAACTTGCCCCAGCAGAGATCTACAGCAGAGAGGTGTAACAGAAAAAAACTGACTGGCGGTGGCGTGGCTTTTGGTTAGAAAAAAGACATTATGGGCAGTTCCTACTGCAATGCCTACAATAGCACAAGTAAGAGAGGTTACCCATTTAAGTCAGTCCAGAAACCATTTTAACCAGCAATCAAATACAACTGGGTTATTTTCTTTTTGTGGTGCATTACATTAGCAAAACTGGCGTGGCTTTACCAATGCATAAGTATATATAAAAGCCTAAGGTATCCCAGCACACTTCTAGAAAGGAAACAGATATTTTAGATAGCTTCAAAATATTAAACAGGCCATACTTGCAGCACTTTTCACAATATTTTTCATCTTGCTTCTTTAGCCATATACATATTCCTGCCAGCAGCTCAGCAAAGGACAGAGCTGCCATAACTCCATGTACCTAAAAGCTCCGCTGCACCCCTCCCTGGCAGCAGGGATGCTCAGGAGCTCACTCCTCTCCCAACAGACAGGGGCAGGATTTCAACACACATCAGCACAACAACAGTTGCACTGAAAAAAATGAGCAGTGCCTTAAGAGTTCTAATTAAATTTTAAAAGCTGATGTTAGAGATATACATTGAATAGTTTTGATCTTTTGTTCCAGCAGTCAAGTATTTTTATTCTTTTTTTAATGGAGCTATTTTATAGATGAGAAAGTTTTGTAAGGAAAAAAAAAAAAGACAAAACCTCCAAATAGCGTCAATTAAAAAGAAATACACTACTAAAACTTCATTAAATATCCAAAATTTTAATCTCAGAGTAATGAACTCTTTACAAAGAGATTTTAGAGATTCACATGTTGTGTACATATTCACAAAAGCAACAGACTAAGGCATATTCTCCATAGCTGTGTTCAATAAATAAAAGACTTAGAAAAGCAATGTGACATGATTTCATTTATACCTTGTCAAGATACAGGCAGCAAAAATTTCAAATATTTGACTTTTTTTAAAAACATGTACTGGACTGTCAGTTTATCCAATTATCGTGAGCATGGGCTAGATCCATTTCTAATCACTAAAACAAACATTCTAGGAAGAGCAGAAAGCATAAACCTTGTTGTAAAGTGCTCATAATTTTCATCATAAATCAGAAATGTTAAAGATAATATTAATACATTCCTTACATATCAAGTCTAGAAGTACAGTATGTACACAATCTACAGTCTTGTCTGTTTAAATAGCAAATAATTTATCTATAGATCTCAAATGTGACCAGCAGCTGAAGGGAAGTTGAAGGGCTATTTTGATTCACCCAAGAAATAAAAAGAAAGGAAACAAAACCTGAGAGCACCCTCCTATACATATATCCATCAGACTTCCCTTAATTTCCCTGACTAACTCCCATGACCCCACTCGTGAAGCACTTGCCAGCACGTTACCAGTACAGACTTGGAACATTTCTTCTGCAACAGAACTGTTTGGGTCTCTACAACAGGCAAGACAAACTGCTAAGAGGAAATGTAATGAGACACACTGAGTCCCTTAAATAAATAAGAGAAATATGTTACACTTCTGAGATAAAAGGACTCTGGACCAGACTGACCAGGAATAAATATCTGGACATTTACTTTATTTTTTTAATGAACTTTAACACTTACAAAAATACAAAACTAATGAGAGGCATCTGTGACACACAGTTAAAAAGCCTCCATCAGCTTCACTCGCAAAGTTTTCACCAGTGCATCTCAGTCCGGAGCTGCAGTATGTCTGCCAGCCTCTTACAAGGAACAAGCCTCCTGTCTAAACAAGCACAGAGCAACCCCCTCCGTCTCGCTACCAGTCCTTTCTGTGACTTAGACTTATGGTTTTGTAGCATGGAATGTTATTCAGGACACAGGTTAAGCTTCATTCCCTCGGGTGTGAGTGGCGAGGCGTTAGCACTGAGTATGACCGCGCGCCGCACAGTGCGCACACTTTTCCTCAAACATTCTCCTCAAAGTGCAACGTGACAAGCTTGCAGAAATACACGCACCTTTAAAACGTAAGACACAACAGCGTCCATGAAGTACAATAAAAATGCTTAACTTCCTCTTATTGTCTTTCTCATCTGCTATGACAGGCAACCATTCATTCTCTTCCATCCTTTCTACAGCTTTAAAACTGGACTTTTGCAGAGGATACAAGAGCATAACCACTCACACAGTGACATGGCTGACCTATAAAATAACATAATTACAATAAAATCAAAAGCCATAAAGTACAATAAAGTTGTATACTCCATAAATGAAAACTTAACTTTTGGTCAACATTTTTGCTAGTATAAAGACAAACGTTTGCTGTACAAAATCCATATAACATCCGCAGGAAGAAGCTTCTTGTTTAGCCTCAGCTTGGTGTGTGCTAAGCCTGAACTTTGTGTTTTTCTAAAAGGAAAGGCATACAGGAGATTGTAAAGCTGATTTTTTTTTTCCTTACTCGTACCCATTAGCAGATTCTTCCCTCACCAAACCATAATCATGTGAAAAAGAATTGCTGTGACGTTCAGAGGAGCTGAAGGCCAACACACACGCACGGGCCACAGAAGCTGTCAAGGGGACAAGCGACTCGGTGGGCTGCCCTCGCCTCCGCCCGCAGCCAGCTTGAGTGTCGTCAGCTTTCGAGGAGGATGCTGAGGGCTCTTACGGAGGTTGTCGTCCATCTGCAGAGAAATAACGAGAGCCGGATCTGGCAAACGGCAGAATACAAATTATATGATTAGTCTATTTGTTGTGGGTCCAGTCATGAATGCTGCCTTGCTTTTTTTTCTTTTTTTTTTTAACCTTATTACTTCAATCCTAGCCAAAAAATAAAAAGATGCCTTCGTTTCTTTTCACTCCCAAATATCTGTTTGTGTTAGAGCTGCTATTCAGCTCATATGCATATGATATCAAACCCAGGGCAAATGGGTGTGCTTCTCCCCAGATCATTTGGCCAAGAAAACTGAAGAAAGCAGCACGGCTGTCGTCTCCTAGAAGGCCAAAGCTTTGGTTTGACTGTGGAACAGTCAAGCTCTCCTGGAAAGCAGGTCACAGTCAAATTGCAAACATCAGTAGATGCTTTTGCAAGCTCAGCACCCTTGAGGAGCAAATCTTCTTCAGATGAGAAACATCTGAAGGAGTTGGGGAAACCTGTATAACTTGCAGATCTCAGAAAATAATTAATAAAAAGACTGTGATAATGTTTTCTCAAATATAGGTTAAAATTAATCTCTGAATACATTATTATTAATTCAGATAATAGTAACCTGAATTAATAATTCAGACTATTAACTATAATACATTATTATAATTTATAATAAACAAGTCATTCTTAATAATTTATTGTTTATTGATACTATTATAATTATAGTAATTAATGGATTATGGATTATTATTAATAATTTCTTATTAATTCAGATAATAGTAATAAGTAAAAATAAATAATTCTTCATTTTCAACTTTATCATTCTAAGGCACTGCATATGGAAAAAATACTACTATACAATAAACAGAATCACAGAAGACACTACAGGGAAGATCTCAAGAGGTCATTTAGCCCATCCCACTTCCTCAAGGTAGGACCAGCTTTATCTAAATCAAGCCTAACAAATGTCTCTGTAACCCATTCTTTAAAACTTCCACAGCCACATGTCAATACTACAGAGAGGAGAGACAATATCTAATGCTACAGAAGCTGTACATAATTGATGATCCACCTATTTGATAGGCCGATCTTTTCCAAACAGAAGTGTCGTCTGTCCTCTTAGCTAGAATCTTTGCCTCTGCGTCAGTAGACTAATTGTTTGCAAGTATTTTTCACACAAGTTACAGGGCTTTTAATAGGTGCTGAGCGACAGTCTTGGAAACAAGAAATGCAAAGAAATAAGAAGCAGAGGTAGAAGCATGAGGAAAAAGAAGTATTTTGGGTCAGTGACTAGGGCACTGAGCTGGAGGCAAGGGAAGCTGGGCGTTGGCCTTAGCTTGCAAGACGATTTCTGAGTTTTGATCAATACCTTGGCCGCCTTTTTTTGTTCGAATGTGCACTTGTCGAAAGACATCAGTCTTTTTTGGTATGCATAGCTTCAAGATAATGTTCTTTTGATTGAAATAAAAATACTTCCAAAGTACAGGGCCTCATTAATCATTCCTTTCAAATTACATAATTTTTCCTGTATCTCTATGCAAACTAACTCGCTAAAAAAGCAGCAATTAAAAATGTCCATTGTAGAGCTGCAGTTGATAGGCAAGAATATTGTGAACAAGAAACCATAAGGAAGGAGGAAAATTAGAGACTAAAGCAAAAGTAACCTTTTCAATCAAGTTGGATTCCTTATTTACAAGCTGTGTGAGTTTCTGTAGATTAGCATCTACTGAATCCTGTCCAGCTGGAGAATGGCCTGGAGAGTAAGGTAGAAAGATAAAGAGTGAAAAGGTTCTTAGAAAAGCTTTCAAATCTTTTTTTTTTTTTTTTTAAATGCATTGGAGATAAGGTTTTTACAGTATTTTTATCCTTCTAAAAAGGATTTAAGTGCAAAAGACATTCCACACCAGGGACAAACAGAAATACTGAGTGTGAGCCATAGCACAGAGACAGGTGTATTTTGCCAGTGTCTGACAGGCTTTAAAAGTAAGGATTAAACTTAGGTTTTAATTTACAGTCATTTTTGCACAACTTTAAAATATTTCTTATTCATACAAATTCCTGCACAAACAGAGTAAGATCTACTCCTGCCTCAACTCACAGGTGGAAACCATCCCTCCTCAATTGTCTATACATGAGAAAAGGAGGAGAAGAAACACAGCTTACCTGAAACACCTAACCTGAAGTAGAAACTTAAAATATCATCACAGAAACGACATAGATTGGGAAGCTGTTTCAAATGCTCTTGTAGCTGTACTCTGGGGAAGCACACTTTATAAAGAGGTGCAAGGAAACCAAACACAAAGGCATCCAAAGTAGAAGGCCTGAAAGATTAACAGAACAAAACAGAGTGACTGAGAGAGGAAGGTCAGACCACTATTACATATCCCTTTCCTGTGCATGTCAAAGATTATTGTGGACAGAATGCAGTCAGCCCTTCTGGCATCCCATCTTTTCACACCAATGCACTAAAAGCTTGGTAGAGAATATCTATGGATTTCAGCACCTCCTGATGAGAGGCAAGCTGAAGCAGTAACTTCAAGATTAAAATCTCGTCAGGACGTCACACAGACTACCAAAAAAGCCACTTGAAAACACATTTCTGGCATGACAGAAAGCATGCAGACAAGCTGTATGCCAGGGAACCGACTCCTCTCTCATGCAATGGTCCAGCCAACAGATGCTCCTTTTGGGACCCCTTGGAGCTGCGCTGGTGGCACTATCCATTTTCTCGTCTACACATGTACCACAGAAGTGAGTTCCCACGTCTTCCCACAGAGGCACTGAGACCACCTCAGACTTAAAGTGCTTTTCCATATAGAAGTGCAGAAGGTGACATTCAGTGATTAGAAAAGCATTCTCAAGTGCTATACTAATTCATCAAGCACCCCACATACTCTGTGCAGCTGTAGGCAGCATCTGCCTCTTAACGAAGAAAATGCAGAATGAGGGAGAATATACTGAGACACTGCACTGATTTCAGCAGCCCAAAGAACTCATTTGTACCCTGCTCCCTTTTCAGATCTTACCTGAAACAGCATGAAACACAACCCACTGTGCAGCACTTTTTAACATCTGGAGGTAACAAAACCCAGTGCTGCGTCATGTAGTACCTGTTTTCTTAGCCATTAAAGAAAATGTGCACTCACGTATTTCCAAAGAAAAACTGAGATGTTCCCAATCTCTTCGACAGGAGATTTAGGCATTCCTTGGCATCCCTGTATATCTGATAAGACACAAAACTGTCTAAGAGTCCTAGGTGTAGTATGCACAGCATCATTCACTGTTTGCCAGTGTGTTAACCTCTTTCAGTTCTTCTCTTTGACAGCACCAGCTTATGAACCAAGTTCTTCACTGTGTGACACGTACCTGTGCTTCCACCTCAGTGAGACTGTAGAGTGGAGGACCACCCCTGGTCAGCAAGATCCTGTTAAGAGCTTCCCTGGACATCCTTCCAGGCAGATACAAACTCAGTGGGAAGCGAATTCTTGAGGCAAACCATGGCTTTGTCACACTGCAGTAGTTTTCTGCCTCCACCCAGAATGTGTGCAGCTGTATAACATAAGTACATAAGTAAGAACTTGAACAACCGACTGGATGTGAGTAAGAATAGTACATTTCTTCTCAAACCTTAATGTGTAAGATCTCTGTCACAGAGGTAGCAGCAATTGTAATTTAAAGCAAGCAGGTTCCATACTGGATTATATTAATACTTGAGTGTTGACATGAACAATTAAGGCCACAGTTACCTTATATATAAATAAAAAAATCAGGGATATTACACTGACATATATATGCATAAAATTACACCCACATATTGACAGAGTGTGTATATACACACACTCTGTATATATACATACACTCTGTGTGTGTTTATATGTATACACACATAGACATACTGTAAATAGAAACTATATTTTAATATTTATACACCTATAAATAAAAAAGTTCTAGTTTCCAAAGTATCTGATATTACATCATAGGTTCAACAGGAACAGGTTTGAATGTTTTGAATTTTCTTTGGAATTTTACACGAATCTTAAAATAAAAATAAAATATGGGGGTGATGAATTTGAGAGCCCTGCAGAACAGCTGAAGAGGCTGGCTTGTCACACATCTGATGAGAATAATTTTTCCTGTACAAACTGAAGGCAGTCATTCACCTCCAATACAGAGGCAGACTCAATGGCTGGGGATATTTATACCTGTATCATACTCACATGAAATTGCAGAGGACATGTGGCCAGGTACTATTTAGAACCAAAGAACAAAATTACCAGTGGCTAATTTAATTTCTCAAAAGTTTCAACAAAACAGTTATAAAGGTCTTTACAGTTTGTACACCTCGGATCAGACACCATCACATACACCGTATCTTAGTCAGAGGTTTTTCAGAAGCATCAAGTGAAACAAACAAACAAACAAACAAAATGGCCAGAGTTTTTAGGATACTGTTTAGCAAAAAGTATCTAAACCAAGAAAAGTCAAAGGTACAATTTTAAAATCTGTCATAAATTAATTATTATCAAGCTTCTATCACATTCTTCACCCACCCTGCTTTTTTTCCATTTTCAGAGGTTGCTAGGCAATAGCTCCTAAATTTGATTCTCAGAGCAAACACATTCCAGCCAGGACAATGGTGTTACTTTAACATTTCTCCCATTGGGCATCTCTTGTAACAGTCCCCTCCAAAAATTCTGCCATCTGTAAAATATTTCTTGATATTTACCAGAGCAGGAAGCAGTTTCTCTTCAAGTAGTGCAATATATGCCAGTGTATCAGCACCTTGTTTTGCAGTCAATTCATAGTCAGCATTGTATTTCTATGAATTAAAAAAAAAAAATAACAGGCTTAACAGCTATCAAGTTAGCAAATGCAACAATATTTGTCAGGGCAAGCAGCACAGGCTCACTAGAATTTCCTCCCTTTACTACTTCAGTCCCTATCCCACTTCCTTACATTCCTGCTTACCCATTCCTAGACTTTTGTAATCTTCTGTTCCCAAAATAACTCTTGTGCATGCTTCCCATTGCTTGCCAAGCAACTGTCCAGTAATGTAAAGACAAGTTTTCAGCCTTCATGGCTGTAGCAAACCTCTAGCAAATCCTAGTCTTTATTTTTGGATAGGAATGCTTTATTATCTGCTACCCTTAATTAGCTTTTATAAAAGTTTGAAAATTGTGCAACAACATAAGAGACAAAACGCACAACCAGATTAATGCAGTTACAGCTAACTCTACCTTTTAATTCTGACACGGGAACCTTTTAACCTGCATAAAAAGGGCTGGTAAATTTAGGACATAAATTTTGCTTTATCGATTTAGAAGCGGCAAAAGGTTAGTGCTAATCTTTATTTCTGTCTGAAAAGTAAGCATATCACCGTTATACTTTAACTGAGGAGTTTTTTTTTTCCCTACATTAAGGAATCTTAGGAATTCAAATGTTAGGAAACTTCTGAATTTTAAAAGACTGTCTAAAAATACTATCTCAAGCTCTCCTTTTTCTATTCTATTTTTCTTTTCAAAGAAAGACTTGAAGTTTCACTAACACGTCATTCATCAGACCATCTTCACTAGGCAGAAACTGAATTTCTAGTATAAAAACAGAAGGCTAGAGGACCATCTTAGAAAAAAAAAAGACAATGCCATGCTTTATTAGACACCTTCATACTTTGTGAAAAGAAACTGTATAGCTTTATTCTTGTGAATAAAGCATTATGTGACCTCCAAAATGCTGGCAAGTGCTGATTATATAATAACACGATGTGCATCAGGAAGAACTTGCAGACACTCTTCTGCTACAAACTACTGAAAAAAATGCAGTAGGTTAAAAATAAGCTTTATATATTATCCTTCAAAAATAGCATTAAGAGACAAATACCCGTTTGAACAGTTAAAAACACTCTTCCCAAACTGTGATCTCCTAGGTCTGCAAAGCCATAGTGCCATTAACCCATTTTAATTAAGACTGGGATGAAACTGCAGGGTACTCAGTCAAGAAAAGCTCAACTAGGGCTAGTTAGCTGGGTTTTTTTTTTTTCTTTTTCTTTTTGTGTGTCTGTTTTTAAACCTTTCAGAGGACTAACAGTAAACCTTTTAAACAGCTATCTGTAATCCACCACTTTGCAAGCCTTATGGATGTCTGGAAAATACGAGAGCACGGGGCGAGAAGTGAGTTCCAGGCTCTTGGAAGCCTGTATCAATAGAGAGAAAGGACACAAACATGAACTAGGATGCAGAGAAAATAACCCTGAAATGTCTTGAGAGAGACCCACCTGCTTTCTTAAGAAGTTTAGTATTTTTGCTGGCTGAGAAATAACAGTGTCTTCCGATATCAAGACTGGGACCTCTCCTAAAAGGTATGAATAATACAGTCATCAGAACTTACATGTAGGATTTCTAATGTTACTGGGCAATGATTAGTCACTTCACCTATCTCCCTCCTCTCCACAGCATGCTCTCATCTTTCAAATGCATATGCATGAACCAACTTTTACTGTACTGTGCTGTTAATTTAAATTAAAAAGGACCCACATCAAATCAGACTGAAGCCGATGCCATCTAACAGATTATCAACACTTCGCAAACCAGGCTAGTTATCTGGATTTCAGATATCTATCTTAAATAAAAAATAAAAATAAAAAAACCCACAAAACCCAGCAACCCAGCTCAACTCTTTGCTCAACTCATCACGCCTAGGCCATTCCTTCCATCCTTAGCTACCCACCCTTCCCTTCCAAATCCATTTTGGCCACTCGGTTTCTCTTGCCTCGTTACAATCACTGTCCAAACCACCAGCACAGACCCTAAATAACTCCCTGCCCCAGAGGCATCCTGCCCTGCCACAACTGATTAGATTGCAGGAGCACAAGGAGTGTAGACTGAAATCCCTCTGGAAGAGGGGCTGTCTTACACACAGGGCACATTCACTTTTCACAGTAAGTCAAACATGACTGATACTTCAGTAGCACATGGCAGCGCAATTACCAGCAACATGTTATTTGGATTTTGGGGGGTATGGATTTCATGTATTTTGACTACCAAGAGAGCCAATGGAGTTCTGACAGTCTGTAATGTCTAGCTAGTTCTTGGTATTTTCCGCTAACAGTGGGAAAAAAACATTAAAGAGCAGAAGTCAATGGCCCAAACTCTGTGTGGACACAGTAATGCCTAAATTGAACACGTGGTAAGTACAAACAGAGTAGTTTAAACTTACAGTGATTTTATCTCTCTGGAATATACCTAGACAAAAACTGTGTCACGGAGCAAACAGGTAAATAATGAGTATCCAAGTTTTCCTCTCTTGGTACCTTATCTTGAACCTCTCTGACAAATAGATGGTGAGTTATCCTTGGTAATTCAATTGCATAGCTAAGCACACTAGTTAGGATCCCACTGATACAAGCGATGCTCCCCGAGACTCACTCTCAACTTTCAACTGCATCAGCCCTTTAAGTTTTGCATTATTACAAACATCCTATTTCCATATACATGTCTAACTACAGTCATTATAAACATGCAAACTGCACAAAGCTTAAAACCTGTTCTACTATACCACCTATTTAGACTGTGACAGAAATAGGCGTACAGCTAGTATTATACACACACTTCATGTAAAGTGTCCTCAGGGCACTTGGTTTATGCCTTCCAATTACTTTATTTCCATAAAATCAGCACACTTGACCCTGTAAACTCATTTATAGACATGCTATGGACACAAGGAGCCCAGAGTAGAGTAGGCTGCTTACACACTAAACCAAAGGAAACCCTGAATTAACTCTGAAACTCGAATCTACATTTATAAAGTGACTACAAGTTGTTTTTTTAAAGAAGGAAAAAAAAGGGGGGGAGGTGCAGAAGAAAAGGTACCTTTTGGAGCTTTCCAGGATTTATTTATGGCATTCACTGTCAGGGGAGCACCAGTAAATTTGGCATAAGCCTGGAAGACAGCAGAGAAATACATAGATAAATAAATAAATACAAACAAGCCCACACAGCAGGAGTCGGGCCCGCCAAGGCGGCTGCGAAGCGGCGCTGCCCGCAGGGCCCGCGGCGCTGCCGCCGCCACGGCCGTTAACCGCCGTCCGCCGACGTTAACGGCCGCGCCGG